TCATCAATTATTTTCTCTAGCATATTCAATGGCAATGATCCATTTAATAAAACGACTAAAATAAAAAAACCAAACACATAAAAATATAAACTAAAACATTTTCTTAAGTATATCATACCATCATGAAACTGTTTTAAGTCAAATTTATCACCAAGAACTGTTTGTGCTTTTTCTCGTAATGACAAAATTACTTGACAACCAATCATATAAGAACATGCTTGTCCAGGATATACAAAATATCGCTCAACCTCCGTAATAATTTTTTGCTTTTTCAAGCATGTATTTTCGATCTAAAATTTGAAAATACTTTTAAAAAGAGGTTTTCTATCAAAATTTCTACCAGATAATTAATGGCTTGTTCACGTGACCATCGTTTCCAATGAATGCCAGTATCAACAACAAGTCTTAAAAACAAAGAAAAAGAAGAAATTAGTATAAAGACATAATCAATGCTTATACCGGCATGAACGAAAAAGTTGAGCATCAAGATATCCAAGATAACTATACCATGATTTATGAAAACCTTTTTCTGCTGCTAATTGTTCTGTATATAAAGCCCATCCTTCGACATAAGCAGTAAAAGAAATAATACGACGAAAAAATGGCAAATGTTTAAGTGATTGTGCTACACTACGCTTGAAAAAAAAATTCATTTAAAACACCTACTGACATAGCTATGATTTAAATGTTTAGTTTTACTTGAAAATGATGACCTGGAACAGCTTCATGATAAGCTAATGTGTTCATTTTAAATTTGACTACTTCATTTATATCACGAAGATTGACAAAGAATGTTCCTGGTGTTTTACCATCAAGTGCTGCTGGAAAATAATGAGCGGCTACTGCTGTTGCTTCTTTAAATTGAGGTATGCGTTCAACAACACATTTTGTTGCTGGTCGACAAGCAGATGAAAAATATTTATCCATTTCATTATCAATATCTTCAATCATTTTTTGATAATCATTGAGAACTTTCGTTCGACTTTCTTCAACATTTTCATATTTTTGTTCAATATCATGTTCAAAATTAGTGATGGTTGTTCGAAAATCATGCCAACTTTCAATTTGTTTTTCTTTTAAAATACTATAAAAACAATAAATGAACATGAACAGGCACGACCATAAAAATCTGCGGGACAAAAAGTTTAATAATTTCCATGCTACTTGAAGGTAATGAGCTAATCTTTTTTGTTGATAATGAGGAATGTTCAAAGTTCTTTTCCTTAGAAAATCGTTAATGAACACTTCTTTCAATGGTCGAGATTCACTTGGATACGAATTGTAAGCTTTCATGAGTTCGAATAAAAAGCGATGCAGAATAGCTCCTACATAGCGCTATTGAAGTGGAAGGTAAGCTACTTCCCAATTATATAACGAACGAGATGATCGAGTATGTATGTCTTAAAAGGAATGCACGCACAAATGAATGGGTTTATATTATTTTATATCAATATAAAATGTAACAGTAACAAATTGAAGTCAAAGCCTACAATTGAAAACAGTGTCGGTTAATGATTTTCTTATAAAAAAAAACTTTGAGTAATCTCTTCTACCATTAATAAAAAAAACACAGTCTAATATGTTCGAGCCAAATGAAGTTAATTACATTTTTGTTTTTCTCTAACAAAATATTTTGTTTCTTTTCGTAGGTTGTTAAATTTAATTATTATTTTCATTTAAACGTTTTTCTTTTATTAGTTTTGATATCTTCGATATCGATAAAAATATTATCTGTAATGATTCAAACTGATTATTATTTGCGTAAAAGCGATTTAAATAGAATTCATTTTGCTAATTCGAACACCATTGTTGGTGTATGATTTTAATACTTTTATTGATAGAAGCAAACATTTGGGTGAAAAATATAATCTTTCGAAAATTCTGTATCTCGTTCATAAATTCAAGTAAATTATCATTTTCATCAATAAGGGCTACTTTGTAAAAGTTTAAACTATTTATCGTGCTAAAATCAAATAGTTGCGTTTTAATTGGTGTGTTACCCAAGTTTCTGTATCTATAGATTCATAAAAGTAGAACAAGCTGAAGTTTTCAAACATATATCTATAATCTAAGTTTCAATTATTCTTATAAGCGGTTAGAATACATGGTAGGGTATCTTTTCAAGAATCTCCTGAACACAATGTTCTCGACATTTTATCCTTGAATGAATGGTAAATTATTTTAAGAAATAAACCATGGTACTGACGTCTATAGATCTTTTTTTCAGTTAAGATTATCAAACTGTATCATTTCGACAATGAAAAGAATTTACTTACGAACTACGAATAGTTTGTAGAAACTAATAAACATTGTATAATGTCTTGAAAATAAAATTTAATGTGTACCTTTTGACAGAAAATGCTAGGCTCTTTCAAATTTCAGCAGAAGTTGCTTCATCGATATGTTTTCAATGTACAGTTCCTTCTTCTTGTAACGGTACAACCCGCCATCTATGTTTCTCATTGTTTTTTGTTGTGTGTAGATTCATCCATGTTTGTGATTCCTTTCTTTCGTATATTCTTTGTCACGCTCGTTTTTTTTTTACTATTATCATCAAGTTCTCATTAGTTACCGTATTTCGCACTGCTTGTGACTGTTATACCTGTGGCTGCTCCATTCAGTTTCTCTAGTTTTCAAATGATTCTCCTTTATTTCGTTCAATAAACTGTTGGATCTTCATTTATCTACAAGTCATTATTTGCAATCTCATTGTGGTATTTTGAGTCAAATCTCACATCGATAATCCTCTGAAAAACGTTTCACTAATATCTATTATCTCATCAATATCAATGCATTTATAGAATCAACAAATGCTTCTTCTTAACTAAATCATATAGCTGATGAAATTTACAAACAAAGAAAAAACAATATTACTTTCTCATCTCATTTTGAATTCTTTCGACATGTTTTTTTCCAAGTTCATGAATTTCATCTGGATTCATATTTGTTGTTGTATGATATTCTAAACATAATTTATAGTATTTATCACCATTTGGTAATTTCCAAACACCATGATCTGTTGTAGCATTTGATAAATCTTCATAAAGAATATTTAATAAACGATCATATGCTGGAACTATATAGATTTTAAGAATTTCCAATAAGCGACTAATCAATTCATTTTGTTTTTCTTGCTAAATATTCAAACAAACAAAAAACAAAGTCATAGAAAAAGTTGTTTTTTTTATTTGAAACTTTACTGAACAAATTGTGTCATTGAGTTTATCAAGAAAAGCAATTACCAAAGGACTAAAAGTAAATTGAATTGGAATACAATATAATAAACATTGATTTTTTTTTCTACCTTCTATTTGGTTCATCTCGTAATTGTTTTTGAAATGCTTCAAGACCATCAATAACTCTTTGAAGAACAAATCGAGGTGTTTCAATATTTCTATGACGTCTTTCTATTTGTTGATCAATAAGTTGATCAAATGCCTTTGATATTCTTTGTACCTTTAACAAAACGAAAAAGATAAACAAAACTCATTTAATCAAAACTTTTAAAAAAAAATTTACTCGAATAAGATAAGCTTCAGCATCACTTAGTTTCAATATTCGATGATATTTGGTTATAAATGATATTATATCAAACTGAGGACCTAACATTTGGTTTATTAAATAACTATGATAATCAAATTCATCGCTAAGGTCTCTTTTCAAATTCATATTCAAAAAATATTCCATAACATCATATGATTGTCTTTGATCAGATGATATTTTTGTATTTTTAAATGATTCAAGATAAGTTAATTCTTTTTTAAGTTTCTTTTTTTCATGTTCATGAAATGATATTGAATAATCATGTAATTGAGTATTAAACAAATCCAAACCACTATTAAAAAAATGAAAAGTATTTTTCTTTAGCTAGAATGAATACTTACAGTGGTCGAAGTTGAGATAAAAGATCAGGGCTTTCAAATATATTTTCATAAGAAACTCTAAAAAATCTTTTTTTCAATCGACTAAAACATGTATATTAATCAGTACCTGGTGTAGAGTATCGTAAGACTAAATGGATTAAAATAAGCATTTTTGATAATTATTGTTGTCCATGAAATAAAAATGATTAATGCAAGATAAAAATTGATTAAAAAGAAAAGAACAATCGGCAAAGCGCATAAGAAGCATGTCAATGCCAATTTTAATTGTTTCCAATACCAAGATTTTGGAATTATTGACATTGGGTGTTTTCTATTTATTTACGTTTTATACATACATTAATTATCAATACATATTCAAAACAATGATTTGATATGAGTAATTGATGAGAAAAAGTATCAAATGAATATTGAGGTAAAATAGAGGGCGTCATTGAACTAACAACGTTAAAAATACTTAAGAGACTATGCATCAGAAAGTCGAGCAACGGCCTGATAGGCCACAACATGATTTTTTGTAACACTCCTTTTTTTTCTTTCATACGATTCTACGTGGAAAACTGGGCTGACTAAATTTTTTTTAGACTTTTATACCTTATATTCACGGAGTTACAGGCATTTCAATCGAAGTAAAACATAAATTTCAGTAATTTTCATCTTGTGAATCCAAATTACATCGTATGATGTCGGGGAACATCTCATTCGAAAGAGGATGAAAAGCTGCGTCGACTGATATACCTCACTTTTTAGAAGTGTTCCATTTTTCAGAAAAAACTTTCTTTTTTGAAAAAAATAAATTTTCAGTATTTCTACTTTTTTTATGACTGTTTTCCTCAAGGGGGAAACAGCTGATTCCGGACAACAGAATCACCTGGAATCACTTGGAATCATAGGAATCAGTCAGAATCAATGGAATCAGTCGGAATCAATGGAATCAATCGGAATCACCCGGAATCACTCAGAGTCATCATGAGATCAATAGGAATCCGGTTTTCAGAAATGTGCTTCAGGGTTATTTGGGATGGAGAATCCGAATCTGAGGTCCATTTGCGGGTGGGTGTGGGTGTGGGTGGGGTAGCTGTGGGTGGGGTGGGG